TATGTAGCGATCCAAACTGATGAATCCAAGCAAAATAATGCTGATATACATGTTCATATAAAATAATGTTCCCACAACCTTGCAAATGATCACACCTAGTGTCCATTTGTTTTGGTTAATGTGATACATTATTCGAAAAGGGAGGCAGAAAATGAGTAGAAGGTCTGCAACAGCCACATTAAGCAGGTAGATTTGAATGGAATTTCTTTTGCGGTGAATACCCAGAAATACGTAGAGGGCAATTATGTTCCCAACAAGTCCCACGATGAAGATAATAGAGTAAAATGTTGCTAATACTTTAGATAATATTTTTTCATCCATGGGACAGCTAGTAACAGTATCATTTGGCATTCCTGAGAAGTTTCTTGAGACTTGGTCACTGTAATTAGTTTGAAAGTACACTCTGTGGGAGGAGCAAGGCCAGCTTCCAGCTGAAGTAGTTGTCATTGTTACACTGTAACTTCTCACTCTGTCTTCTGTGCTGATCAAAAAGGGATACGAAATGACATCTTCTTTGTGGTAGTCCTTATGTCTTCAGATTTTTTTTTTCTACAACAGAATGCCATCTATTGAGTCATTTGTTAATAACAGCTTTCCAACATTGTGATACACTTTTTTACTTTTATCCTACTTTCCACATTTGGACATGTACACCATATATTCAGTAGTATTACCGTATCACAAAACCTTCGGCAAATACAGTAGGATCTAGGAGAATATCTTAGTCTAACTTTCCTAGGTCTATGGCATGTTTTGGAGATTGGTTTCATTTGTTATATGAAAATAATTGAACTTTCTTAGGGAGGTTGTTACAGGCAAGAATGGGAGGTAAAGAGAAATGGCAGCTCATATTTTTTAAAATGAGCATGAGTTTCCCTCACATATGGCATTCATTTATTGTGGTATATGTTGCCACATAGTGTATGACAGATAAACTTGTGGCGATCTCTCATTCCATAGCGGAAACAGAGAAGAGGGTTTTTAACTTCTTCCTTCTCTGCTGAACACCACGTATAGGATATTAAAATCATTTGCCTACAGGAACATGCAATTATTATGTAACAGACTATGAGAGCCAGCACCCAGATTCTCTTGTAACAATGTTCAAGAAAACAAAGCGGCCTAACAAGCAGCAGCCACAGAGCTACTCTTGACCTAGAAGCATGGGGTGACAATGCAGATTGGAAACCGGATTTCCAGTACAAGATTTTTGAAGGTAACAGATTGAAACTTAAACATACCCTGGGTTACATAATTTAAGACTTTTGGTAGAACCTTCTGAAAGATTGTACATGAATTCTACTTGTTCCTGGCAGCAGAGAATTTTCTCAGTGCTATTTGTTAACTGGCATTTGACTGCTGTGAGGAACTCTGTTTGAAAACCTGTCATGAGCAGCTAGAAGACAGAAAAAGGATTCCAGCAGATCTCAACATATTCCTTTCTTACAGCAACTTCCCTGTTTGCCTACAGAGACCTCCCAACAGATAGAACATAAAGACAGAGATGGGTTTTCAGAATCAAACCTATGTCATCAAAGGCTAATTTTTTCCAAGGCTTTTATCTCATTTGTAAACATGAAAAAATGTGTATGAGGAGCCTAATTCTGGCAATTAATACGAAGCCAATACAAGTTGGTTTGGGAGTAGAGGTGTAATTCAGTGGTAGAGTGCTTCTCTAGCTTTTGTAAGGTCCTGGGTTCTATATCCAGGGCTACCAAAAAACAAAATTAGCTATAAAAATCTTTTAATTAATCTCATTTTAGTAATTATCTCATACTTGAGTAATGTTTGGAAAACAAAAGTGAATACAGTCCTTGCTCGCAGTAAATATTTTTATAGGAATATACATTCAAACCCTGAATGCAACTATATAAACAGAGGCTGGGTGGACACCAATGATTCATGCCTGTAAACATAGCTACTCAGGCAGATGAGATCTGAGGATCACAGCATGAAGCCAGCCAGAAAAGTCCTCAAGATTCCATTTCCAAAATAACCAAGAAATAACAGGTCCGCAAGTGTGGCTGAAATTGTAGATCACCCAGCTATCAATGGAAAAAGCCAAGTTGAAAGTATGAGGCCCTGAGTTCAAGCCTTGGTACTGGCACAAATTAAAATATAATAATAATAATAAATATATTATAAATAATAAGTTATTATAATGCAAAGCAGAACTTAATTACAATAATTAATGTTTTGAATCAGTGTTATAAATGAAAAAACATTAGAAGAAGAATGTAGCCTTTTTTGTTTTGTTTTTCTCTTCCTACCCTCCTATAATTTGATCAAGAAGAAACTGGGTATAGGACAACTTTCAGGTAGAAAGTGAGGCGGGATTGGATTCTGAGGAAGAGGAAGTGGCTAGTGAAGAGGAAGTTCTGACAGCCCTGGTAAGAGCCTGTCTCCACAGTTTAGGCCAGTGAGGGAGAAGGGGAGAGGGACAGTAATGTAGAAAGGAAGAACTGTAGCTATCTGTTCTGTATCTCAACTACAGGAAAACATATTTATGCAAAGTTTGTCCAAACACCCAGGCATGTTTCTTGTGATCTGATATCCTAAAAGGAAAGGGCAATCTAGGAAGAGTGGCAGGCTGCCAAAAATGAAACTTACGATGCAGTTTTCATTACTAAGAAGGGTTTGAGGAGAGGAATCTGTATTGAGTGGTTGCATAGACCAGTGAAGCTAAACATCCTATCCACTGGTGAAAAGGCATTGAGACACAAGTAAGGTGACTTTGAGTGCTTGGGTAGCTGATATGCTTAGAAAGATCATATGTAAATAGTCTTTTTTTCCTTCTGTGCTAGATTTTAAACCCCCTTAGTATTAAGAACCAAATCTGTTTTGTTTGTCTTTTAGCACAATAAGTATTGTTTAATGAGAGAGAGTGAATTTAATGGAAATATATGTAAAATCCTACATGTGGCTCTTAAACGGCACAAGTACTAGAAATGTTTCAGCTACATTAGCAAAACACAATGTGGGTTTGCTGTATCAGCAGTGTGATACAGCTTCCACAGAAACCAACCACATCTTAGGTTGCATTTGTGGATGTGTAGTATCTTACATGAACACTGTTACTGCTGATGTGGTTCTATCCCAAGTGGAATGAGTTCTCCCCCTGGAGTGCTGTGTTTCCTCATCCTCAGAAGCTCACTTTGAAAAGGCCATGGACCAAATGGGAGAAGAGCTCAAATTATGTCATAGAAGCAAGGTGAAATAAGCAACTTATCCTACACTTGGGAACACTTACTAGGTGTGGTGGCTGAAGGCTGTAATTCTAGCTGCTTGGGAGGCAGAGATTGGAGCATTGCAGCTCGAGGTTAGCCTGGGCAAAAAGCAGTTCATGAGGCTAGATCGGCCAATGACACTGGTGCAAGCTTGTTATTCCAGCTATAGGGAAACACACAATGGCTGGGCACAGTGACTGTGCCATGGGGAAGCACAAATACAAGCCACATTCTAGGCCAACTTGGGCATAAAGTGAGACCCTAGCAAGAAAATAACAGAAAAAGGAGTTGGGGGTATGTGGTTCAAGCAGTAGAGTTCAGAGCTTTGAGTTCAGTTCCTAGTGCTATAATAACAAGAAGGGAGAGAGGGACAGAGAAAGGGAGAAGGAAAAGGGGGAAGAAAGAAAAGAAGAATTTGCAGAGCAGATGTTGCCTCATTATAAGGAAATTCTTCTTAGAATACAACAGTGTATCTTGGAAGTCAATAAATATCATACCTCTGGAGATTTTCAAGGATACCACCAATTAGACACTTTGTAGAAGGGATTCTCACTGGTGCTCAATTCTGACCATTATATGAGAAGGCTTTTTAAAGGCATCAATGTCTGGCTCCTTCCCCATATATTCCAATGTAATTGGTCTGGAATAGGCTTTAGGGTCTGGTTTCCTTTCAAAGCTCTTAGGAGCATCCAATGTATAGTCGGAAATGAATCTCTGAGCTAAATGGCCAAACACATAATTTCTATAACCTTTACAATCATTGCATGAGTCAGTGAACCCACTGCCACATAGCTCTTAAATGGCAGAGTCCAAGTTGGGACTCCTAGATCTGACTGAGAGCTCATGATCCTTTTCATGGAATTTTACTCCTTACTGCATCTGATCATTATTTCCTCATTAATGTTTAGTAGTATTTTGACTTGATTCCTTTAACATTATCCACTTTAAGATTTTAAGAAGAGATTGTGACATTTAGTTGTGCTTCTTTGGAGAGTAATGAATCTTGGTATACTGTATGTTCATTAAGTAAATAAATCTAGAACTTACAGAATCATGAATCATCAGAATTTTTAGTACACCTCTCGAAGCTAACTTCTCAAGCTTCCTTCTAGACCAGATCCCCCTAATCAAGATGTTCTCAGAAAGCTGCTAGCAGAAAGAACATCCTGAAATCATTTACCTCGGCCCTAATCTACAAGTAAAATAGGTAAACGATTGTTATAAAAGTCCAGTCATAAAGTTTGCTGGATTTGCTTGGTCTCAAGCTTCAACAGTATAAAGTAAAAGTAGTGCATTTGTTTTCATAGTTAGGTACTACTGTGTATTACTTCATTAGCATTCAACTTTTCATGAACAATTTAAGAAATTAGATTCTGTTTTAAAATTAGTGGCTGACTTTCATCTTCTTTAAAGTCAGTTGGGATATTACAGTGTCACTATTCTTGTGGACATTTATTAATATTAATATTTCAAAAACTACATGTTTCATATGTTAAGAATTTGCCAATGAAGATGAAAAACAAATCACTATGTGGACTAATTTTCCATGTGCTAGATACTGACATGGTCACAATCATTTTTCTAGTATGTAGTGTTTGTGACTTGGTAAATGCTGCCCCTAAGTTTGCCATGTTGTGTCAGTGACTTAGACCCTCTCCCAAAGACCCCATCCTCCCCCTCCCAATTTTTTTGACTCCAAATAAGTGGAAGATTTTAGAATGCAATTTTAAGCATTTTCATGTAAACATTACATTGCTATGTTGAAATACCTACCGATTTGATGATGGTAGCAATCTTTGTTTCACTGTATTTAATTTGACTCAATAATGACTGAATCTATTCAGGCCATGCTTCAAATAGTGCATTAATGGCTGCATACAGAACAAAATTTTAAAGCATATTACTTTGAAGGTAGTACTATTAGTAGCATATTAAACTTCATGATGTCAAATTTAATTTTTTAGTTATGTGAATTAATGAATGTATACTTTATTTCCCTTTAATATTCTTATTTCTGAAACAAAATGTAATTAGTCTGTAATTATAATAATAAAGAAAATACTATTACTTGAGACAGTGACACAACATAATAAAACCAAGAAATTATAGATAAAGTATACTATCACTTATACTTAGAACTAAAATTTAGTGTCTCAAAATAACTGCTAATTAATTCCAGTCCATCTGCAAATCTTTTAATAATATACAAATGCATTTTAAACAATGTGACTATATCAATTATGAAGTCCTAAAGAACTTAAGAGTAGCTTTTAAAAAAAGCAGCTTCATTTGAAATCCAGACAGAGCTGTCATTCAAGCAGTTTGCTCTAAAAGCAAAGAATTGTTGGTATCAGATTAATCTTGTCAGCACAAATTAGGTTTCAGTTTGTTCATATAATCAAATTTGAACTAAAACAAAAGCTCATTTATGTTGTTAAAAGAATCAACGAATACTTACAGTTCGGGCTTTCCTGAAGTAAAAGAAGTCAACCCCAAGCTTCCTGAGACTCAGCTGGGCTGTGTCAGCTGGGCTCTTCCATCCGGCCACAGTACAATTGGTTGGGTTCTCTTCTTTTTTTTATATTCACATGTGGTCGTAAGGTTTCTTTTTCCCCTTTTTTGCTTCAATATGAAAAGTCTTAGGTTCCTTTTGAAAATAATAAAAATCCATACAACTATGCAATTTGAAGCTCTATAGACATTTCAGGATATATATATGAACATATGCATAAACATATACAGACACATATGCATATGCAATTTTGGTTTTTCCTAAGAAATAACATGAATTTCTGTCCCTTTATGGATTCATTTTAGAAATTGCTCCCGTGGAATGGTCTTCCTATACTGAATTAAGCTACCATTAGTAATGCTTTTTGTATGGGTGCCAGTTCAATTCTGTGACTTGAGTTCAGAGCCTGGACAATGTTCCTAAGCATTTTTGCTCAAAGCTGGTGCTCTGCCACTTGACCCACAGCTCCACGTCCAGCCTTTTGGTAGTTATTTGAAGATGAGAGTCTCAACACAGTCCTCCAATCTTATCCTCTTGAGTAGCTAGGATTACAGGTGTGAACCACCAGTACCTGGCTATGATTATTTTTTATATCTTCTGTTAGAAATAATGAACTATAAACAGGAAAAACTAAAAATAATAATGGCAGAATCCCAGTAGTTGTTAACTAGGTAATAGGTATGTGGAGGTTTATTTATCTATTTTTCTCTACTTGTAAATTTTTAATAGTTTAAAAGTAAAAAGGAACTCGTTGCCTGGTGCTAGTGGCTCATGCCTGTAATCCTAGCAACTCAGGAGGTGGCTATCTGAGGATTGCAGTTCAAAGCTAGGCAGGGCAGGAAAGTCCATGAGACTCTTATCTCCAGTCAACTACCAGAAACCGGAAGTGGTGCTGTCTCAAAGTGGTAGAGTACTAGCCTTGAGCAAAAATGTTCAGGGCCAGCACTTAAGCCCTGAGTTCAAGCTCCATGACCAACACCGCCAAAAAAGAAACTCCTTTAGAGTCTTATAGTTGCAACCCATTTCTCCATTCCTAGCACCCCCAAAAAACTTTGAAAAATATCAGTATGATTGTCTCCACATCATCTCTTCTTATTTCCCCCTGAGCCTGGTCCAAAGGAGAGTATCACCATCACAACTCTCCCAGTGATTTCCAAGTCACCAAACCTAGTAATATTCTCAGCTCTCAACTTAAATGACCTTTGTAACATTCATCATCACTGTTAAAACATTCCTTCTTGAAAAAGTTTCTTCACATGGCTTCAGGATACAGGCTGATTTTCCTCTTGCTTCACCCTCTGGGCATTCTGTTTCATTTGCTAGATGGTTCACAACATCCTCCTCTCAAATATAGATAGTGCAATAGCACACAGCCCTCCAGTCTGTTCTCCATGTGCAGTAATTCCTTAGAGATTTCTCTCATTGTCAACATGCAGTTGATCTTCAAATTTTCATCTCTAACCCTAGCCTCTGCTCTACTTCATCTCATAAGATCTCAGTCAGTATGAAAACAATTCCTGATTCCCCCTCACCAAATCCTGTTGTAGCATTCACCACTTCAATTAATGATGTCCTCATTTTCACTCAATTGCTTAGGACAAAAACCTACTCAACCTGCATGACTCATCTCTTTCTCTAGTGGCAGTTTCTACCAGTTTTACCTTCAGAACATAAATATCATTTGACCACTTCTTGTCATCTCACCTTCTGTCACTTTAGTCCAGTCTGTGTCACCATTTTCTGTTCTCTGGTCAACTGCAGTAGCCAATTGGTCTCCGTTGTTGGGCTCTTGGGCTCCTGCATCACTTACTAAAGAATAGTCGGAGTGATGATTGCCAATCTAAAACTGATTTTAGTGTTCCCTTGCCCAGAGCTTTCTATAGTTTCTATAGTTTCCCATGAAGAGTCTCCTCTTCAATATGATAGAGCTTTGAATCATCTCAGATCACATGTTCTATCGTGCTGCCCTTTGCTCATTCGTCTCTAGACACCCTTCCTTCTTTTTTTAATATACTTTTTATTGTAAAAATACTGTACATCAGGGTTACAGTTACATGAGTTAAGGTAATGAGTACATTTCCTATCAAGCATTGTTACCCCCTCCTTTATTTTTACCCTACCATCCCTTCCCTCCTCACCTCCCCAACTCCTCCCTTTCCCTCTCCTTCTCCCTCCCCCTCCCCCGAAGTTATAAAGTTCATTTTCAGCATAGTTGTCTTGTATATCTCATAGTTACATGGGTCAACCTGTATCCTTGTTTCAGCTTTTTGTGATTTCCTTTCTCCTCCCCAAATTAGAAAAATGTACATACAAGATGCAGGGCACCAGAATCAAATACAGTGAAAACAGGGGTTATACCATGGGGGAAGAACATGTAAGAGAAACAAAAAAATCCCATAGTACATTTTAAGTACATTAAAACAACAACAACAAAGATAAAACCTCTTGTGTCCCTATCTTGGGGTTCATTTCACTTAGCATCAGCTTATATGGTTGTATGTACATAGCTTTTGACCTTTTCTGCTTGTCCTAGATATATACCAGTTATTGCAGATAAGGGAAACCATGCGACCTATGTTTCTTTGGGTCTGGCTTACTTCACTTAATATAATTTTTTCCAAGTCTTTCCATTTCCTAACAAATGGGGCAATGTCATTCTTTCTGATGGA